ATATTTGCAGACTGGCTTTCTGTCACTCTGGATAGCTACCGCTTGCAGCTGATATGCCATTGGCAAGAAGCTGCTTTGCATGGTATTTAGTGCTAGTCTAAAGTTGAGGGGTGGGCGAGGCAGAGGTGCAGCTCTGAGTAGCTTCAGGTGCTCGGATGTGTCAGATTGGCACGTGTCCCAAGGCCCTTTGATGGAAAGCCAGATAATCTGTAGAGATTAGTTCCTTTTGCAGTTGGATTTTGTGGGCTAAACATAATGGACCAAAATCATCCGTAGGGTAACTCTCCATGGAAGATGAAAAGAGCTGACTGAGCTGATTTCAGTGAAGCTACATCAGGGATCAGCTGAAACAACTGTTAGTCTGGCTCCAATTCCAGCGAAAATTTCTTCTTTCTGCACTAGGTGTGACTTACTATCTCCTCCGGTGTGACTGGAAGTAGTTTTACTGTGTTTGGCTGAAGCAAAAATGAATTGGTCCCACATGTTTGTTTCTATTTGCCATTATTAGATCAAGGAGCTAGAGAGATCTCCTGTGTCCATTTGCATCTTCAGACATGGTGGCAGCCACAAACTGCACATGACTTTTTACAGCTAACTTTTCGCTCTCTTGAGAAAACCATCAGGCACTAGCACCACCATGCGGACCACAGTAAAGAACGCTATAATCCTAATGTATACACAGCAACACCCTGCTGGCCCATGATGTGGGGTTGTTTCATCATGGTGCAGAATTCTGGTCTGGAGCCTGGGATCTGAGACCCTGCTGGGTGCATAAAGAAGCACAGCCACACCCACCCCACCCCACCCTATCTTATCTGCAGGGGGGCCAACAGATTTGCTGGGCCCCTGAGCATGGAAGGGGGGCTCTGTGCTCCCAGAAGGGGGCGGGGCCTTATGTATAAGGGACAGAGCTGAAGTAGCCAGTCCTGAGCACTGTCCGGTCCATGCCATCCCTTTCCCTCCCCCCCCGACAGCCCTCAGACCGGACTGTGCCACGCAGTGTAACAGTGGCCAGGAGCCTAGGGCCCTTTTGAATTGCCAGTACCTGGGGCAGTTGCTTCCCTTTGCCTTCCCTGTTGGGAAGCCCTGCCTATCTGCAAATGTCTACACTCATTCACTTCATCCTTCTGTTGTCCTCTTTTATCCGAAGTCTCTCCCTCCCCGATTATTTCCAATCCACTTTATGAGTCTTGTTTGTCTCTACAGCCCATCCTGTTTCCTCAGCTCATGCAACAGCACTGGCCTCCTGTTCCTCAGTGCCTTGCCAGTCTTAGCAGGATCATGTTCTGCTCAGCTTTTCACTGTGGGCCAGAGTCTCAAAACTGCTTAGTTCCTGTGTAGGTTTCAAAACAAATAACCATATTTCTTTTGAAAATCTGGTCATAAATCATGGGCATAGTTGATGGGGGAGGGAGCAGAAGGGGCATTCCCCCCCCCCCCAAAAAAACCCTGCAAGCCTTGGGCAGGCATGGAATTTGCCCTCCTGGCCCCTTTCCCCCGCCCCACATACAACCCCATTGGCCTGACTGGAGGTCCCCTCTGCCCCATGTAAAAGTCAAACTGGGCCTATATTCCATATGTATCACAATAAATATTACTGGATACTGTGCATCTCCAAAAATCTGGCCCCTTATATCTCCTTTAGTCACTTTCCATCTCTTTTCAACCTGCTATTCTTCATGTCTAACTCTGTATTATTTACCTCTGGCTGGCAGGCGGTATCCAAGCAAAGCATTCTGAGCTATAGGTTTCATCAGTGTTTAGGATACAGTTTGCACAAAATAAAATTGTACTGTCTTGAAATTTCCAATACATTTATGTCTCTGCCTAGCAATACAGCATTTGAATTGTATTTACTTGGCTCCCTACTTGTGTGATCAATTTTTTATTTTTTAGGGCAAAGCTGGAGAGTGAGAAAAGTATTCCAGGGAGAAAACTATGAAAAATAATCCCAGAGGAAGCTGGTACGGTATGTTCATAATTAGACCAGGAAATGGCAAATTCTGCGTGCAAGAAGAGCTTTCTGAACCAAGGGTTTCATGGTCTGGGTCTGATTGATTATGATCTTAGGACCTGATCCAACTCCAACTGATATGAGAAATCTTCCCTTTGACTTTAGGAGGGCGATGCAACTGGATTAGGCTCTTAATAAGTGAAATTAATGCTGTTTCTGAGCAGAAAATGAAGAGCATTGAGCTGTATAAAGTGGTAGCTTTAAATGAATATGGTGGATGAAGGAGTGTGAATGCAATCTATCTATCTATCTATCTATCTATCTGTCTGTCTGTCTGTCTGTCTGTCTATCCATCCATCCATCCATCCATCCATCCATCCTTCTGGTATTTTGAGCACCAGAACTGTGTTCTTGCTGTTTAGGAATATTTTGAATGGGAAGGGAAGGAAAGATAATTCTTTGCTTGGATACCGCCTGTCAGCCATCTCATCACTGTGGTGCACAAAATGTATCTTTCTTAGATTTCTCATTTTGCTAAATATAAAAATGTCCAACAAGCTCAGTGCGCATGGCAGGCACATGGTACAGGCAACTCTGGACGGGAGGGACAGCAACATGGCAGTATCTTAAGGAGGCTACTTGTGCTGCTAGCAGCTTGCAGGCACACCATGTTAGAGTTGCCTCTTTATCATCTTTTCCTGTGGTTGGTGCCACTCGCATGTGGTGAGGTAGGTTAATAGGCAGCCACCAAACTTCCCCACGCCAAGATGATCAGTTCTGGAACATAGAGTCACCCAACTTCTGACTCTGGACTCCACAAATGCTTTTTGTTTTGGCAACCTTGTCATTAGAAGTTGTAGATATTCATCTCTGAATTTTCTGGTGCTGGTCTTTCTCTTTCAGCCTTGTTCTACATATTGGACATTCCTTCTCTTTACACATCAGATTTTTGAATAAGTGTTTCTCACTTGCACCCACATTTGCATGGTGCGGCCTGATTGTATAGATGCTCCATCTACTCTAAAACACTTAGGCCATTTTGCTTCCACAACTTGTCCACCCAATTTGCAGATACAATTCCTTGCAACACAGCACAGAGTTGGGAGTAACAGTTCTCACAAATAACCATGTACGGTCCTTTTGAGTGCTGCTGCATTCCTCATTTCTTTAACTGCCAGGCTGCAGGTGACTCAGTCTAGTTTCCATGTGGACTTTGTGCAGCTAATCTGGAAAAATCCCTAATGCAGTGGCAACTCCTTGTTTTTTAATGCACGAGCTGAACAGGAAAATCAGAGTGTGTAGTGTGAGTACAACATTCCTCTGTGTGTTTGTGTGGTATGTGTGAGCACGTGCATGCTTACGCCTCTAGAAGGGTTTCTGGTTGTTTATGTAATAGAAGTGTCATGTAACAGAGCTGTTTGCTTTGAAGAGCAAAGTCTTAATGAATAATGTCCAATTAAAGTCAGCAGAGGAGAAAAGGCAATTGAGAACACTCTGTTCCCTCTACCTGCTTTGTTTCTCATGCATTTTAGGAGTGTTTCTTTTTAAACACTTCTTCAAGGCCAGATTTTCTAATGGCCTCCTGGAAATGCCATTGCAAAATGTGCTTGTACATGAATTTGCCATCTGCAAACTGGGGTGACGTGTATGTATGAGACAGCAGCAGTTGCATAATAGGGGGCTCTCATCCAGCTTTTATAGTTGGAGGGGGCTTAGAGAGGAAAGCTAGTTTAGTGCTTAGAGCATGGAATGAACCTAGGTCAATTCCCTGCAGTGGCAGACTTTCTGTATGATCTTGAGCAAATCATTCAGAGTCTCTGAGCATAACATGGAATTTATTGCTCTTCCCTACCTCACAGAGTGCTGTGAGGCTAAATGCATTACAATTCAGAGGTGCTTATTGTTTACAAGTGTGGGAGTCATGTAAATACCTGATATATAGGTTGAGAGAGGGGGCAGAAGTGCTCTGGACCAACAGGGACATTCTGGCTGCCTCTGAGTCCAGTAGTACTGGGGGCTGATGCAGGCCACAGCTAGAGCTGTATCACTTCTCTCACCCCCATAGTGGTGCAATGCAGTGAAAGAGAAGAGCAAGCTAGTCCCATGGGGTATGTCTAGACTGCATCCCTCTGTCGGCAGAGGGATGCAGATTAGGCAGGACGACATTGCAAATGAGGCACAGATCTAAATATCCCGTGCCTAATTTGCATAAAAATGGCCATTGCGTTTTGCCGACTCAGCACTTTGTCGGCAAAAAGCGGCAGTCTAGAGGGGGATCTGTCGAGAAAGAAAGCCATTTTTGACAGCTCCCTTATGTTTCCTGCAAGGAGGTTTACAGGATCTGTCGAAAAAGGCTTTCTTTCTTGACAGATCCCTCTCTAGACTGCCGCTTTTTGCCAACAAAGTGCTGAGTCGGCAAAACGCAATGGCCATTTTTATGCAAATTAGGCACGGGATATTTAGATCTGTGCCTCATTTGCAATGTCGACCTGCCTAATCTGCATCCCTCTGCTGACAGAGGGATGCAGTCTAGACATGCCCATGTTGTCCCTATGCAGTGAGCATGCTGGGAGCACTAGGAAAATGTTGAACTTTCAAGCAGTGAAAAGAAACTGTTACTGAAGTTTCAGCTGTTACCACAATGCAAAAATTAGCCTGGATGTGAATGTTGGAGGAGACAAAGAACAGGGAGGATTTTAATGAAGAAAGGAGAGATTTTCCTAGGGCTGGTTAAAAGTTTCCATTTTATGAGCACTGACAATATATTTAGCCCTGTGTATGCTCCAACATGCTTTTATCACTGAGGAGTGCTACCATGCGGGTGTGGAGTTCGCAATTCTTCTACATTCCCCTCAACAGGGAATGTCTCCAGGCAGATGTTTAGCTTGGGAGGGGAGCAGCAAGAAGAGCTCCTTTGGGGAAGCAGCCAGTATTGCCTCTTTTCAAAGTGACTCAGACATCAAACGTGCAAAAATTCAACTTCACCTTGCATGTTTTTTTCAGAGTGAAAGAAAGAGACGGGATAATTCTGTGGAAAACTAAATACAGACATCTACCATGTGCAGGGACAGGCACAGGCCTCAAACAAAAACAAGCTCAGAAGAGTCCAGATCCAGGGCTTGAGTCAGTCTATTATGCAGCTGGTAACTAAACCAAGAGGGGTAGGTAGAATAAATATTATTCCCATTCTGCAGAAGGAAAAACCGAGACACAGAGAAGGTAAGTAACTCAGCCAGGGTCATGCAGCTAGTCAGAAGCAGAGGCAGGAATAGAATCCATGTCTCCTACTCCCATGTCATATCCCCTGGCCCAAATTGTCTTAGTCTGCACAGTTGTAAAGTAGATAATAAAATGTACAATGGATTATCTCACAGGGCTTTTGTGAGAATTAACACAGCATGTAGTTTACATGTACAGTACATGTACTGTAGCATGTGATACAGTTCTGTAGCACGTGTAGGTACCCTATTATCCCCATCCCTCCAGAGAGTGCTAGGGTAGGGGTGTCTGTGACTTCACATAAGGGTAAGTTCTGCAAGGTCCACAGTGGGCGAGAGCACAGGTTGCAGTGTTCAGTGAACACCATCTGAGGGCACATGCTGCTCTTTCTCAAAGGAAAACCAGTGTGCTGCTCACCTAGGCTACATCTACATTGCACACAAAGAAATGCTCCAAAATAGCTTATTTCAAAATAGTGCATCTACACTACAGGGAAGCCTGGAAATTAGTCTGAGGTGGACGCACTACCTGGATTTAGAGCCCCAGGGAGCACTGGGGAGTAATTACTTTGAATGGCCTGGGGGAGAAGCTATTTCAAAATAGCAGCAGTGGAACATCCACACTACTGCTATTCCGAAATAGTTATTTTGGAGGAGGCGTTATTCCTCATGGAATGGGGTTTACAAATGCTGAAATAAGCAGCCCGTTATTTCAAAATTATTTTGAAATAACAGGCTAGCTGTCTAGACGCTTGCATCGTTATTTTAGAATAACAGATGTTATTCCGAAATAACGTTGCTGTGTAGACGTACCCCTAGGATATGTCTACACTGCCCCCGTTTTGCGCAAAAAATATGCAAGTGAGGCGTAGCGTGGAATAGCGCCACGCCTCATTTGCATAATTAATGAGATTCCATTTTTGCACAAGAGGCTTTTGCACAAAAAGGAGCCGTCTACACTCCCTCTTGCGCAAGAGACGTTCTTCCTGAAAAAAATGCAGAAGAATAGCTCTTGCACAAAAGCCTCTTGTGCAAAAACGGAGCCTCATCAATTACGCAAATGAGGTGCAGCGATATTCCATGCTTCTCCTCATTTGCATATTTTTTGTGCAAAAAGGAGACAGTGTAAACATAGCCCTAGTTGCCAGATGTGGGATCAGCACCCTTCTCTCCCTATATACAGCTTTCTGTGTCTCAGGACAGGATTTTGCCCAATAAATAGAGGCATTACTTCACTGTGCACTGAAATACAGCCACCTCTGGGCTAGAATATGACACAGGATTTAACGCATTACACAACCGCTTCAGACAACAAGTGAAGAAAGGCATTTGCTTAGCTATCATGGGTCAATAGGTTAATGGGTCCTGGTGAAAGGCTAGTGAATTCAGTGGCCTTACATCAGAGATGAATTAGGTCCCACAAGTCAGGTTCTAAAGACTGAAAACTTTCTGGAACAAAGGTCTGACAGTTTTGTATTGAGTATATATACCACGTAGCACAATGGGGTTCTGGGCGATGACTGGGCATTACCTTAACAGAAGTGCTCACTCAGAAATATGGAGAAAAACCTTTTCTTGCCTAGATTTGCAGATACAACTCTTGGTTGTTTCTTTCATATTGTTTATGTCTGAATAGCCTAGTTCAGCCATCAGAGGGAGGAAATCCTTTGTGCTTTTCATCCCAGAATGTATGCCACTTTCTGTCTATCTCCTTGCATAGCACCCATTATCAGAGCACATGAAGCCTGATGGGTTTATGTCTCACCCGGAAAATCAGCCTGCTTAAGATTGAGGAATTTTGTTCAGGGCCCCTGATAAAACCATTACATGGAGATGAATAACTCATGTGGTTTTATGTTTCCTGTCCCTGAAATGCCATTAGGAACATCAAACACTTCTGTGTTTATTCAAGAAAATTTCCTACCCAGGTTGTTCATGCAAGAGAGTGGGAGAAGGGAGGGGTAGAGATAGGGTTGCCAGATGGTTGAAACAAAAATACCGAACACTCTGCCTCCCAAAAAAAAAACACCGGGAAAAAATTCTGTTGAAGGGAAAAAAAGGGGAGGCGGGGACCAAAGTTGTTGAGGAAAAAAAAATTGCTTCCCTTTGGTTGGCAGCCATTTTGTACCAGCAGCTTTGCAGAACCAGGTAAGCATGGGGGCTGGGGTTGAGGGGCTGGGGATGTTGGGAGCCAGGAGGAAGCTGGGGGAGGGAGGCTGGGTGCTGAGTGTTTGTAGGATTTCCAGGTGCCCGGCATTTTCACCTCCTGGCCGGGGAAAAAATCAGAAAATACTGGACATTTTAGGTGTCCAGTACTCCAGTACTCTCTGAATTTTTTTTACCGGACAGGAGGTGAAAATGCCGGGCACCTGTCTGGGTGAATACCGGACACCTGGCAACCCTAGGTAGAGAAGGGCGCTGGGTCCGAATTATGGTGCTCACTTGCAGAGTCTGAGTGAGAATTGCAAAGTCAGGCTTTTTGCCTCATATAAATCCATTGGTGGTACTATGAGGTGCACTCAGGATAAGTTACATTGTTGGGAGGGCATTGAAAGACCACATCAAAGCTTCCTGCAGGTCAAAGGTGAAATGAAAGGCATCCATCTCCCCTCCCTTCCCCAGCCCATTGTCCGTCAGACTTTCCCTTCCCTTTAGTTTCCACTTTGAATTTGATGCTGCAACCTGAACTCAGCTTTCATGCTGTTGCCTTCCACAGGGGGGCATGTATCTCACAATTATGCCACTTGGAGCTTAGGGTTTTCAGAGCCTACCTCTCAGCCAGGGCCAGATTATCCATTAGGCATGATAGTCACAGTGCCTAGGGCCTCTGAAAAATTTAGGGCCTAAAAAAATTTCATAATTGACTTGAAAATAAAAGAAAACTGCTAACTCAAGCTTAATAATTTGCTATCCTTAGTCATCAGACAGCATACAGGTATACAATTAACTATTAGGTGTATAGATGATAGGGCATTTCTCTCTTATATATTTATATATAAACTAATTTCAAGGCCTATGATTATGAGAATGCCTAAGACCTAGGAGGACCTTCACTCAGCCCTGCTCTCAGCAGGAGGAGCTATGGGGAAGGTCTATAGATGTGAATGAGTCAATGCATGACTGATTGAGTCAATGAAAGAATCCTGCTGTCCTCAGAACTGGGGTGCAGAGAGCTAGCGAAATGCTGCTCTGGTGCCCCCAACCAAAGACTTGGTTCATAGTGAATTGTTAGATGTTATTATGGTTTGTATTATAGAAAAGCCAGAGGACCAGTCAGGATCATGGCTCCATTGTGCTGGGTGCCGTGCAGATGTTTCTGGAGAGAATTTAACATGTGAAGGAATGGATTCCTGGCAAGGATAAAAGAGACGCGATTGTGGCATGGTGGGGCATGTAATCTCATGGAATGACTCCACAAAAATGACAAATGCTGCCAGCAGGGGCCTTTCCCCAAGGGAACACCTTTCCCATCAAGATGTGAACATGAGTGGGAAAGGGAAACAGCAAATTCTGGCCTCCAGGCCCACCCTGGTGCTATGAGCCTGCCTGGGGAGCAGTCTTTCTCCATCTCTCAAGCTGCTAGCTGAACTCCTGGGAGCACCTTTTGCTGGAGCCTAGGCAGTGGCCACTCCTGGAGGATCCTGAACATAGGCCACCACCTCTCGTCAATATTTTTCTTCTGATGAATGTGAACAAAGTTCTCTAGGAATACAGGCAAGATTCCTATTGCGTCTGGGCAGCTCCCTCCCACCCATTGTCAGCATATGTATAGTTGCTCTGATTATCAAGGCGAGAAGAGAGTCTGTGATTGTTTCATGTGCAGTTTGGGACGCTCAGCCTTACAATTTAAAACACTTTTTAAATGATCAATGCCAATACATAAGCATTGGCAGGCAGTATAAACATTTTTCATAGTTGCAATGTGAGCAGTAAGCAGACCCATGTGTATGAAACTGTCTTTCACAGCTCCTCCTTCTCCTCATGAAATGAGAAGCACATGTAGATGACCCTATTTCTGGAACTCTAGCAGAATGGCCATACAAGTCAGCATAACCCTAATTTCTCTTTCTTTCTTTCTTTCTTTCTTTCTTTCTTTCTTTCTATCTATCTATCTATCGCATCTCTACAACACCACTATGAGGTAAGGGTGTTACTTACTTGTCCCCATTTTAAAGATGGAGAACTGAGGCCTAGAGAGATTCAGTCGCACACAAGAAGTCTGGATGAACAGAGAATTGAATCCAGATCTTAAGTTCTTATCCCTGGCTCGGCTTACAAATGTAAAGAGGTGTAGTGGTTTTATTCTGTTATGCCCAGGACTGGAATAGCAAAGAGATTAGATGTTAGATTGCAAGCTCTTTGGGGCAGAAACCACCTTTTTATTCTGTTTGTACAGTGCTTAGCACAATGGAGACCTTGTACTTGACTGAGTCTCCTACATATTACCACAATACAAATAATGCATAATAATAAGACCAGAATTCATGGTGCTTTGGCAGAGCAGTGTGGGACTCCACATAGGGTATGTCTACACAGTAGTGCATGCCTCAAAATAAGCTACACAATTTGAGCTATGAAAATTGCGTAGGTTATTTCAAAATTTGGCGCTATCTAACAGCACTTATTTAGAAATAAATCACTATTCCGCTGACTTCCTTAATACTCGTACAGCAAGGTTTACAGGAAGTCGGAGTGAGAAGCCCCTTATTTCGAATTTATTTCAAAATAACTGGCTTCTTGTGTAGACAGTGCATAATATTATTTCGGAATAACAGACATTATTCCAAAATAACTCTGATGTGTAGATGTACCCTATAGTGATTTTGTGCACGTGGCCTAATTTAAGTCAGTGCAATTAGCTCCTAAGTTTAATGAGTATAGAATTAACTCACGTCAGGGTGGAAGGAGGAAAGCATATAGTAGATGTTTAGCAAAAAAGTTTCACAGGAATACCTTTTCCTTTGTGGAAATTCGTTTGGATACAGCATGTGGTCTGATTCTCTGCAGGGTCTGTATGAACAAAAGTTAGGGCAGGTTCCCTAGTTAGAAAGTCTGCCCAGAGAGAGAGAGAGATCTGCAATCTCCTCTCCACCAGGGAGCCTGCACTTGGCCTATACATGTTCAAAGGTGAGAGAGAGAGAGTATGATTCAGTTTTCTCTTAGCTGGCTGGCATGTAATGGAGATTAAAACTGCCATCCCCCATTGAAAGTCCAGCAGTGAGTGACAGTGGCTGGAGCTGGTGTACTTAGGACATGTAAAAGCCAGGCTATTTGCCTCATTGTACCTTAGCTTTGCATGCCGGGCATAAGAACTGTTCCCTGCCTACCAGGTGCTATGATGCTATGATGGAAAATCACTTTGACATGAAGATACTACAGGTGTGTGGTTATGACACAAAATTAACTTGTGCAGACTTGTGTATAAACATTGCAGTTGTTTAGCTTCACAAAAACCTACCAGAACCCAGCTCTCTGCAAGACAGCTACAGTGGTGCAAGTGGTGCTGTCGTTGCCAGGGTCCATAAGGTTATGGGGGCCCAATCAGCAGATGCTGTTCTACCTTAAGCACCGCTGTAGTTTTGCAACTCTACCTAAAGGTAAAGTAGGCAGCTGCCTGCCAGCCAGGTCTCCAAGGAGCAGAAAGGGGCCCCGGGTTGGCCTTCCAGGAAACTGCTCCTGTTCCTTCCAAGCTGCTCTGCTGGAATGCATTTCTCCCAGGAGGCAAGATTCATTGGTGCTCTCTAGCACCTATGTAATATTGTGACCATGGAAAACCATTGTCAAACTAGTTTGATCAGCCAGGTAAATAGAGTTTTTGGAGTGGAGCCAAAGAAGCTGGAGTATGCCAGTGAACCTTGCCCTGTATGGAGTAGGATCAAACCCTATCTGAATAGTGTGTGCACCTATTAGAGTTACTTAGAAGATATCACCGATGTTGGGGAGGGCTGTCTTTTTTTATCTAGGTCAGATAACATTTCTACGGGATGAAAGCAGACATACCATAGGTGTCTGACTTAGATAGTAATATAAAATGGAGTAGGTGTGATCTTTGAGAAGTGCTGAGGGTGTAATTTTTAATAGTGGATTTTTTTTAAATGTCATGACTGAATGGATCCTTCTGATTGGTTCCTGTGACAAAGAGACTGCATTTTTTAGAGTTGTCTGATTATCGGTGACAACACTTGTTTGCATTTTGTGCCAGCCACATGACTGTGCTCAAATTATATTTCCATGGGCGAAACTGTGGGTTCTGGTATTGATACTGGCATTGTGGGCTTGATACTGCATTGCATTACTTCTCTTTTGCAGTGGTGTAACTCTTTTCAGATAGAATAGAATAGAAATTGCCTCAGTTTGAAACTAGAGTAATGGACTGATGACTCAAGCCCTTGGACCTTTGACTAACTACCGTATATACCCATTCATAAGTTGATTTTTTTTGGTAAAAAAGTGACACATCAAAGAGTGGGGTCAGCTTATCAAAAGGTCTGCATTGTTGTTGTAGATCAGGGGTTGGCAAACATCAGTTCCCAGCCCATCAGGGTAAGCTGCTGGCATGATGGGACATTTTATGTACCTGGAGTGTCTGCAAGAACAGAGCCTCTCAGCTCCCTGTGGTGGCCATTTGCCATTTGCAACCAACGGCAGTGGCAGGAAGTGATGGCCAGCATGTCCTTCAGCCCGCTCTGTTTCCTGCAGCCCCCATTGGCCAGGAATGGCAAATAGCCATTGGCAGCTGAAGGGAGTCTGTGCCTGCAGACCCTCCAAGTACATAAAACATCCCAGCGCATCAACAGCTTCTCTGATGGGCTGGGAATTGAAGTTTGACGACCCTGCTGTATTTTAAGAGTTGGGCTAACAAGAAACGTGCGAAAGCTTTAGTAGATTTATTTTAATGCAGTCTAACAAAAAAAACCTGTTATAATAATTGAACAAATATGTATTTACATATCTCCAAAATTAAAGTCCATGTTTTGAAGTCCCATCTCATTCTAATGCACTTATTTAAAAAGTTTTAAAATCCTTTAACTTCTGAATCAGTCTCTAATTCACCAAACCGTTCATTAAACTCAGCTTCAGCATAGCTGCTCCTGCCTCAGCTTTGTAGATGTCAGCAGTGTTGTCCTCAGACTCAGATGTATCAGCTTCCATTGTGTCATCACAAATCATAGAATACTAGGACTGGAAAGGACCTCGAGGTCATCTTGGTGTCAAAATATGGTGTCATCTTCTGACCCATCAAGCACATTGCTGATACAGCATTTTCTATAATTTCCATGGGAATGGACTCCCATGCATCCTTGACCCACGGGGCCACCAGCTTGATTTTGGGCTTTAGAAGATTTCCACCTTTTATCAATTTGGGCATGCCTGAGCACATCCAGTCAAATCACATTTTGTGTAGCCTGTCTTAAAGGTTTTGTTCCAGCAGACATAAGTCAGTCGTAGAACAGAAATTAAGACTCCGGGTATTACAGCCCAAGTAGTTTTCATGTTTGGCTACTTGCTTCACCCCATCCATCTTGTGTGTCCTGAACATGTCCCAAACAAGCATACAAGGTTTCTTGAAAAGTGCTCCTAGTCTCTGATGTCACACTTTTCCAGCCATTCAATAGTTCCGCTTTCATCCATCCATCCCTTTTCATGTGCACATACAATGACACCCACAGGAAAGTTAATGTTTTTACTCAAGGTTTTCCTTTTAAAAATAATAACTGGAGGGAGTTTTGATCCATTAGCCAATCATGATAAAACCACTGTAAAATGGATATTTTCATGGCCAATAGTTTTAATTAAAATTGTTTTTTCAATAACACCAGTTACTGTTGTTACTTGGGAGATCAAATGTCATTGATGTTTCATCCATATTTCCTATTAGTGAGAGCTCAAATGAATATTCCTTTCAATATTTTATAATAAACTTTTGAAAAGATTCAGTTTTTTCTTCCAGGTCTCTTGGCAACGTCTGTGCTAGCTTTTTTCACTGACAAAGACAGAGACCATGACGGTTCATGAAGTGAGTATAACAACCAACTGATGTGATAAATATGGTTGACTTTACTGATTTGTATTTGTCATCTTTCAACATTTTCAGAGCATGCAGATTAATTCCAGTTATAGTGACAAAGTACCCATTTTGTCAACATTCAACAGCCCAATCATTGAGATCTTTCTCCAGCTCAGGAAATGAAGTGTACCTCATTGGACATTTTTCTTGCTTCTTGGCATTACTTTTAGTATTGTTTTATTTTTTCACCATTCTCTTACCTGCTTTGCATTGATACAGAATTCATTAGGGATGCCAGATAGTTTAACAAAAAATATCGAACCTCCCACCCCAAAAAAAAAACACCGGGAAAAAATTCTGTTGAGGAAAAAAAAAGGGAGACCAAAGTGAAAGGGACAGCAGTTATGAAGCAAAAAAAATAAAATAAAATAAAATAAAATAAAATAAAATAAAAAAATAAAAAAATAAAAAATCAGCATGACCCTTGAAGAAGAGGCTTTTTTGCCGACAGCCATTTTGTTTTTCTATTCCAGCCACAGGCTAAGCCCCTGTGGAACTAGGTACGTGGGAGGAGGTGCGGGGGCATGGAGGGGGTCCCGGCAGGGATCCGAGGGGGGCCGGGGGGAGGCCCAGTTGCTGAGTGGGTAAGGGTGTCCAGGGTCTTTTTCTCCCCCAGCCACAAGCCCCTGCGGAACCAGGTAAGCAGGAGGGTGAGGGGACATGCGGGAGGTCGGGGCACTGGGCCTGGTTGCTGAGTGTGTAGGGTTGCCAGGTGTCCTGTATTTTAGCCTCCTGGCAGGGGAAAAAAAACAGAAAATACTGGACATTTTAGGTGTCCAGTATTTTCTGAATTTTTTTAACGACCAGAAGGCTAAAATACCGCTCTGTCCAGGTCAATACTGGACACCTGGCAACCCTAGAATTCATGAACAGCAACAAAATTATTGTTTGCTTCTGCATATTCAACAACTTTAAGTTTGAATTCTACATCATAAGCAGACTGTTTTCTTTTGATTTCACCATTGTTCATTTTAAATACTAGTATAAAAGCTGAGAAAATAATTCAGTTACAGATTTTGTAGGACTTTGTAGAGGAATGTCACCTGCTTTATCACTGTCAAATTATAATCGTTCTTTATTTATTTCAAAGCAGCCCTGTGGACTGGCATGTCTGTGGTGATAACAGGCTATTTAAATTTTTGTTACAGATGTAATCGATTCTGCACGTTATATTTATAGATTGGCTGGAGACTTAAGAGGCCAACATGCATGAAGAGATCACATTACACAGTAGCCGACAGACACCAGTGCCATAGTACTATTGTGCATTGTATTTTTCTGATTGTCTAGTATTTTGTGAAATGGGTGGATCAAATTTCATGCAAATACAATTTAAATAAAAAATAAAATGTTAGCACATTTTTTAAAGTCCAGAACTGATGTTCCATCACCGGTGATCTACAGCAAGGGTCAGCAAACTTTGGCACCTGGCCCATCAGGGTAAGCTGCTGGCGCACCAGGAGGTTTGTTTACTTGGCGTGTCTGCAGTCCAGGAGCACCTCATCTCTCAGTGGCTGCGATTCATCATTCCCAGCCAATAAGAGCTGCAGGAAGTGGCACAGGCTGAGGGATGTGCTGGCCACCCACTTCTCTCCTCTCCTGTTGGCCAGGAACACTGGGAGCTGCAGGTCTCCGTACCTGCATGCACTCCAGATAAACAAAACATCCCGACATACCAGAGGTTTACACTGATTAGCCAGGAATTGAAGTTTGCCAACCGCTAAAATATAGGGTCAGCTTATGAAAAGGTCATAGCATTTTGCCATTTTTATCTATTCATCTTGGGGGTGTCGGCTTATAAGCAAATGGGCTAATGAACCAGTATATACAGTACTTGTGTGCTGTAGATATGCCTTGCTACTTGGTTTTAAGTATGGCATGTAAAAGGCGAGTTATGTGTGTTTGATGCTGATATGATTTGTGTATTTAATACAAATATGTGGAAATCTCATAATTGCTCATACACAGAGAAAATGAGAAAAAATACCAGAGAAAATGTTCGGAATGGGATACAGGTTCTTTAGCTTCTGATGATGTTACACACAAGATAGATTTTGGGGACTCTTTAATGTGTGACACATATTGAGATCATTTCTGCACTAGAAAATTTAGTAGAGGCTCCTGCACTAGAAAATTTAGTAGAGGTTAGACCTCCCTGGTCCAGCACCCTCAGGACCTGAGTGGTCCCAAACAAGGGAATTTGCCAGAGCAGGGGAGTTCAGGCCTCTGAGCTCTCCCGGGGCTCCCCGTCTGGCTGCTGCCCTGGAAGAACCCAGAGACCTGACTTTTGGCCCACCTGCTTGGCTCTGCTGCCCCCCAGCCCACTTGCAGGGCTCTGCTCTCTGGCCCTGGCCCCGTGCCATGCGGCAGCTGCTCTCGGGCTCCCTATGCCTGGTCCCACACAAGGCAGCAGCTGCTCCTGGGGCTCCCTGCCTCTGCTGCCAGGCCCTCCTAGTGGGGCTTCCTGTCCCTATCCCCTGTGGGCGGCAGTCTCTCCTGGGGCTCTCTGATCCCATGTAAGGCCCTGCGGGCTGCCACCCAGCAGACTGGCTCCATTCCCAGCTGCTCTCAACCTCTGCAGCTGGGCTTCTCTTGTCTAGCAACATCTGTGGTTCTGCCACATAAATTTTGTTATGTGCACCTCGGCATATATAGATGTGCACCACCAGTAGACACACATGCTGGCGGCTGTGGGCATTCGGCTAATCCACTGGGCGGTGCCTGAATCTCTCCTAGATGGCTGCCCAAGTGCTCATTTTACAAGGAATGCTGCTTTAGCCTATTTCTGCTCTGGGGGCTCTGGGGCCTGCGTATGCCCCGTCTCTGCACATTTGATGTTGCTACAGGGTGCTCAGACTAACAACACCAAGGTTTAGTAGTGAGAGGGCTGATTGTTTCCATGAAGGATCCTTGACTCTGGAGTTCATTTACCACTCCTTGATTCGACAGAGTCTGGGATTATTAGCCTTCAGACTAGGCATAAAGCTCATGTATTTCCAGGGGGCCGAGGGATATGCAATGGTACTATAGGGGAAGCTGCCACTTAATGCTGGCTTACTCAAAAGGGTGATTTATATTGTGGGGAGAGGAGTGGTGGTGCTGAGGTTGGCTTTGAGGAGAGCGGGCAGGTCTTGTGGCTATTTCTTCATTTGTTTTGAATAGTCCAATGTCTGTATCAGAATCTGGAGTCTTGGTCAGAGTCAAATCTAATTAGCTGCATTAACTCATTTACTGCAAAGCCGTACTTGCTCTCATAGTTAACCTGGGTTCTCTCATTTCAGATTTGATTTCAAACAGTTATCAAGCTATACCGGCAGTGAGATGGACAAGATACTGCTGTGAGTTTTCCCGGTCTCTAATTCCTGAGTGAATCTGAGAAGAAAAACACTTGTGACTCCCAACCAAAGAAGTTTTGTTTTCTTCAGCAGAAAGCTTTGCAAACCTTTTGTTTCCAGTTCTCTCGGTAAGATCTCCCCAACCACTCTAGCTCGCTGTAACAGCCTCCCACAGAAAGACAGTGGAATGTTTCAAGCTAGAAATGGTCCTTATTTCCATTAGCAACAGCTGCTTTATTTTTAATTCAATTCTACATTCTGGAGTCTGTTTATGAAAGCTGCCATTAATTATGTTTTTCATCAGTCAATGTTCAGAGATGGCTAATGGCCCAGCACACCTAATTAGTCCTTCATGTATGATAAAGTTTCAGCAAATCTATAGTTAGCCATGCGGGGCTGATATCTCCTGCATGGTGGAGTTGTGACTGGGGCTGTACAAACTTGCCTGGTGTGTGTCAGATAGTGTTACAGATCTGTTCCACTGCAGTTTCCAACATCTGGGCAGCTGTGGGCTGCAATTACTGCGATGTGATGATAATAGCGAGTGCCAAAAATGACTTCTAATGTCACTCAGAACATGCTAATGAAAGGGTGAAACATTCAAGACGCCTTTTGAAACCTCTTTGAAGACCATTAGTGCATAGACTAGACTTAGCGCTACATATTTTTCCCTTTAAATTTAAAGTGATGCACTTGGGATATAGAGTAAAGCACTAGCTGTGGCTTCAAGGTTGACACAGTGGTCCACTGAAATGTTAACATATGTTGAAAAGGATTTATCTGGATCCAGATGGCAGCTCTGGAGTAACAAGTAGTCCCCTCTTTGTTCAAACATATTTAAAACCAGACTGACTGCAGGCCTGTCGTTGGAGGGGGGCGAGACAAAGGGGGCAGTTGCCTTGGGGCCTGGTGATTGAAAGTGGTCCGGGGCTCCTGGCCCTGCTACTACAGCAGCAGTGGCAGCTGCAGTCCTAGGCTATTTAAATCGCTGCCGGAATGCCACACACTCCATGAGGCTCTGAGGACTGGGGGGAGCCACCATGCTCTGTGAGGCATGGAGGGCTGGCTTCCCTGGCCCTGCCCCTTCCACCTAAGGCCTTGCCCCTTCCAGGAGGGCAGAGTGCCCCCCCTTGTCCAGGGGCCCACACTAGCTGCCAGCTCTCCTGAGTGCAAGATTTGTCAGTACTAGAGGCGAGTGTAAGCTATGGGGTTTGAATATGCATGCATCAGGGATTTAGTTTGGTGACCCTTGTCTTGAGAGTGTTCTCTAGAGCAGGGGCTATCAAACTTCACTGCACTGTGACCCCCTTCTGACAAGGAAAAAGTACTTCATGACCCCATGAGGGGGGACCAATGCCTGAGACCACTCAAGCCCCACTGCATGGGGGAGAGGTAGGCAGCAAAGCCCATGAACCACTGCTCTAGGCAGGAGGGCCAAAGCTGAGGGTCAAGAGTTTCAGCTCCAGGCAAGGGATCCTTGGGCTTTGGCTTTGGCCCTGGGCAGTGGGGCTTGGCTTCAGCTGCAGGCTAAAGCAAGTCTAAGCCATCCTTGGTGACCCCATTGAAAGAGGGTCATGATCCACTGTGTTGGGTCATAACCTACAGCATGAGAACCGCTGCTCTAGGAGAACACTCTTGCATTGGGTAAGTAATGGAGCTTATGGGCTGGACGATCAAATACAAGTGATTTTTGAAATGGTTGAGAGCAAAGGTCCAAAAAAAATGTCCATATTTACCATAATTGATCATTCACACATGAACGTCCAATAAGTGTGCATGCATGTAAGTTGGCTCGGGTCATTTGCCCATGCTGTTATCTGATCTGCAGAGCTTGAGACCCCAGCTCTAGAGCAAACTCACTGTCTTGTGCTTTATTCACATGACCTTTGTTTGACATGACTCCCGCTTGGCAATGGAAACATGTAAAATAAAACTGACCGTACTTGTGCTGTAAAACCCTCTGTTGTCTATTTTAGCAGATATGGGTTTGAATAATGGTAGAAAGCTCTGGTACATTCTTTAACATTGGAAGTAATTTAATTTTCTTTAGTCATAAGAAGAGCATCATCACAGGAAGGTGTCCTCAGGTCATTACCCCAATAGGCCCAATTTTATCTGTGCTTTCTCAATGAAGTCAAAAACCAGTTGGTTACTTCTGAACTTCCTAGGTATCTCCAGGTAGAATGAACCTGCCATGTTGCTGAATGGACCATGGCACTATCCAGA